AAGCACCCTCAGCCCCTCACCCAGGCAGGCCAGGCACCCAAGCGGGACCCCCACCCTGATCTGGGACACCCTTCGGGGCAAACCAGCCAGCCCCAACCATGCACCAGGCCCCTCTAGTCCTATCTAATAAAAGACAAAAAGGGTAATTTACCGCACCACTGATACGCTTCCAATTGGCTAATCAGTGAGATATGCAAATTAACTGCCAACTAAGATGGTGGTTAACCGCCAACAAAGATGGTGGATAATTTGCATACTGCAGGCAGGGTAGGACAGCGCAAGCCGCCATCCAGGCCCCCATGTGCAACCTGGGGGCGGGAGCTCAGGCAAAGCAATAGCTGATCGCCTTGCTGGAGCCCTCGCCTGCCACCGGAGACACAGGGCCCACTTCCATGTGTGACCCGGGGGCAGGTGGGGGCTGGGGCGAAGGCAAGCGGTGCTGATCACCTCGCCCGAGCCCTCGCCGCCCACTGGAGACACAGGGCCCACTTCCGTGTGCGATCTGGGGGTGGGCGGGGGCTGGGGCGAAGGCAAGCGGTGTCCATCCCTCACCCGAGACCTGGCCCGCCCACCGGAGACAGGGGGCCCACTCCTGGGCGCCCCTTCCTGCTCAAAGCAGAGCTCGAGGAGTCTGCGAGTGTCCTACCAGCCTTCCAAAGAGTAATAAAGTGCATTTCCGGTGAGAAGCCCGGGCTGGGGGGTGAGCGGACACAGACAAGCACGGGGCCCTCCAAGGGCTGCTGGCTTCAGGCCCAGGCTGCGCGGCCAGGCCTTCAGCCTGGCTCCCGCCTGGGGTCGGCGCCGGCGCCAAGCACAGGCGGAGGCCAGAGGAAGAACTCCAAACCCTTAGCCGGATGGACCTCGGGCCCTGGAGGGGAGGAGGCCGTAGGGGCCAGAAGAGCCTGAGAAGAGGGAAATCCCAGGAGGAGGCACCTGGAAAGTGCAATGAATTGCAGGAGAGGGTGGGACAGCCACACAATGGCAAACCCTGCCCGCCCCGGGTCAGTGACACAGGCCCCAAGTGCTCCTGGGCTTTGCCTTGCATCGCGGGGGTTATGCTGCCCGTGGGCTGGGCAAGCAAGGGCCACCCGAACCTGTGAAGTTTTGCACAAAGGTGGGGAGGCCACATTCGGGTGGGTTTGTCAGGCCCAGGGAAAGCGCCTTCGCTCTCTGCGCCAAGATGGTGGCCAAGGGGCCCTCCGGAGACATGTGGTGACTGAACCCAAGCCAGGCCGGATTCCTGCTCATACTGAGAGGCAAGTAACTGGGCACTGTGCCCCAAATGCATGGGGAGCACCAGCGGCCTCCTCTCTCCTGCCCTGGAAGGTGGGAGGCCTGGCAGGAGGCACAGCTAAAACGCAGACACTGTTGGGTCCCAGACCCCTTTTCTTTGCACACCTCCCCTCCCCCGCATCGTTCTGTGAGGCTAAGGTTCCTGAGCCCAGATCCAAGGACTGCAAAGGGAACAATTTTCCCGGTGAGAACATGCAGGCAGGCACCTCCTGCCAAGGCGGCCAAGTTTGACAAACAGCACCTCCTAGGGTGGGGAAAGCAGAGTGTCACGGAGCAGCACCGGCTCCTAGCTACCCCGGGGGCAAGTGGTCACCACAGCTCCCTGCTGGCCCAAGTGTCCGGTGCACCTAGGCCTCACTGACCTCATGACCCCCAGAGCACGCACCCGCCTCCTGATCCTAACTGCCTCTCCCCCCTCCACACACACACACATGCATCTGCAAAGGCGGGAAAAAAGCAGGACCCCCAGAGCACGCACCCACTTCCTGGTCCTAATTGCTTCTCCCCACTCCACACACACACACACATGCATCTGCAAAGGCGGGAACAAGGCCCAGGCGGCTGCGTCCACGCCCTTGCTGGTGAAAGTCACACTCCAAGTGGCTGGCTGTGTGAGGGGCAGTAGACACTCACTTGCTCACTCTCTCCCTGGAAAATCCAGAGCACACCTTGGCTCCTGCAATGTGTGGAGTTAGAAATCGAACCGTTTATTGTCTCCTAACTTTTCTCTGGTTTCTTTGGTCACTCACTGTGGCTGCCCCCACTGTTCTGAGTGGGCCCTGGGGGCTCCTCAATCAGACCCAAAATCCCCAAATTAAACACTCGCTTTCAGAAAGCCGGGCTTCTCTCAACGCACCCCCCTCCCGCCGCCAGTGCACAAATTTTTGTGCAGAGGGCTTCTAGTTTTAGATATAATACTTAAGGGAAATGAAAATTGAAAGAGAAAAAAAAAAGTCAATATAAGGTAGTTCTCCAATTTAACAAATGAGTTACATTCTAATAGTTCCTTTGTAAATTAGTATTTAGAACCATATTACTACACCACTACTCACTTTGAAGATATTTTATAATGCAGTGTTGTACTGATATATTTTTAACAACCAGCTATCTGGGTTTAAAAAATCCTTCTTTGCAGTATTGCAAATTTCCATATTGTAAATACCCCCAATGTGGCTGATTTCAAGCTACCAACATGATGTCACTGAATGAGGAATAAGAAATGTGCCATGGCACACCATTATATAAAATATATACTTTATAGGTATAGTAGCTGTAAAGAACCTTAAGGGTATCCATAATAATAAACTGTACTAAAATAATTAGGAAGTGATGAGTTTAGAGTATTATTGTTTTGTTGTTTTTTTTTAGAGGAGAGGAATAACTAGAGGGAGGACTAGACAAAGAGGAGGAAAGAGCGTAAATGCTCTTAGCAGGGGAAGGAGCAAGCTGCAGCAGTGTTTGGTACACAGGAGAGTATTATTGTTTTTAATAAATTTCTTTAATATTGTGGTTGTTAATCCTCAACCAAGGTTTTTTCCTAGTGATTTTTAGAGAGAGTGGAAGGGATGAAGGGAAGTGGGGGGAAACAGAAATATCGATGTGAGACACATTGATTAGTTGCCTCCTG